AATTAATCAATTATAGATTTTACTAACCTTTACATTAATTAAACTAACCATTGCATTAATTAATCAATTATAGATTTTACTAACCTTTACATTAATTAAACTAACCATTGCATTAATTAATCAATTATAGATTTTACTAACACTTAACATTAGTTTAACTAACCATTGCATTAATTAATCAATTATAGATTTTACTTACCGTTAACATTAGTTTAACAAACCATTGCATTAATTAATCAATTATAGATTTATCTAACCTTTACACTAGTTTAACTAACCATTGCAATAATTAATCAATTATAGATTTTACTAACCGTTAACATTAGTTTAACTAACCATTGCAGTAATTAATCATTTATAGATTTTACTAACCTTTATATTAGTTAAACTAACCATAGCATTTATTAATTATTTATAGATTTTACTAACCTTTAACATTAGTTTAACTAACCTTTACACTAGTTTAACTAACCATTGCATTAAATAATCAATTATAGATTTTACTAACCTTTAACATTAGTTTAACTAACATCTACATTAGTTTAACTGAACATTGCACTAATTAATCAATTAAAGATTTTACTAACCGTTAACATTACTCAAACTAACCATTGCATTAATTAATCAATCATAGATTTTACTAACCTTTATATTAGTTTAACTAACATTGCATTGATTAATCAATTATAGATTTTGCTAACTTTTACATTAGTTCAACTAACCATTGCATTAATTAATCAATTATAGATTTTACTAACTTTTACATTAGTTTAACTAACCATTGCATTAATTAACTAATTATAGATTTTACTAACCTTTACATTAGTTTAACTAACCATTGCATTAATTAATCAATTATAGATTTAACTAACCATTAACATTAGTTTTACTAACCTTTACATTGGTTTAACTGAACATTGCATAAATTAATCAATTATAGATTTTACTAACACTTAACATTAGTTTAACTAACCATTGCATTAATTAATCAATTATAGATTTTACTTACCTTTAACATTAGTTTAACTAACCATTGCATTAATTAATCAATTATAGATTTTACTAACCGTTAACATTAGTTTAACTAAACATTGCATTAATTAATCAATTAAAGATTTTACTAACCTTTACATTAGTTCCACTAACCATTGCATTAATTAATCAATTAAAGATTTGACTAACCTTTATATTAGTTTAACTAACATTGCATTAATTAATCAATTATAGATTTTACTAAACTTTACATTAGTTTAACTAACCATTGCATTAAATAATCAATTAAAGATTTTACTAACCTTTACATTAGTTCAACTAACCATTGCATTAATTAATCAATTATAGATTTTACTAACCTTTAACATTAGTTTAACTAACCTTTACATTAGTTTAACTAACCATTGCATTAATTAATCAATTAAAGATTTTACTAACCTTTAACATTACTCTAACTAACGTTTACATTACATTTTATCTAACCGTTCATGAACGGAATGAAAACTGTGTCCAGTCCTATTATTGAGACCTAGTTAAAGAACTGTGATTATCGTTCAGTTCAGATTTAGAAACAAAGCGGGAAAGTACAAACATACAATTAACATTAAGGTGAGTCATTCTTTTTTTAAAAAAAAGCTATTTTGAAGAGTCAAACTGGAAATTTTTTAAGTTAAGTGTTAAATGTATTTAGTTCATGCGTACTTGGATTGAAAATAACTCTGATTACCAAATGTTCAATGGTTTGAGAGGAAATATAAAATTTACTCAAAAGGAATTGAGTTTTTGTAACAAACTCAAATTTTTTAATCCCTATAAAGTTTTCAAGCTAATGGTGTAAACCTTGAATATTTCAAATTTAGAATAGTTGATATGATAGAAGTCATAGTTTGAAATATAAAAGGTCTACGACATTTGGTTGCAGAGATATTAAAAATTATAGTTTGTGGCAAAAACTCAGTTCCTTTGTATAGTATACTTATTTCAATAAACTTAGAGATTTTAAAAATATTTTGAAAAATGGGATCTTTGAAGTAATTTTGGAGTAACTATGAGTAACCTGGGAAACCCTGGGTTCCCAAAATTGTCATTTAATAAAGTTTGTTCCTTAGCATGAGGATGGTGGTAGGAGGATAGTACTTGAGACAAAGCTACAGATCCTGCAGGATGATGAAATCAATTCGAGAGGTGACTTTTTCAATCAATAATTTATTGTAGATTGAGTTAAAGAATGGATTAGCTATATGAACTTATAGTTCAATATTAACTTTTGGGCGTAAAAAAATATAGAAATAAAAAAAGGAAAACGCCTAATGTGGTTTTGAATTGTTTTTTGTAATTTAATTCAATGTTTCTGTATGGTTATTTGATAAGTTTATTATGTTGAGAACAAATTGGCTGCAGGGTAGACTAGTAGAGATAAAGAAATGTTTGGGAACATGAAGGATGGTTTAAACAAAATTCTTTGGCGACAAATCACTTAAAAGTAATTCCAATTCAGAACTAAGAACTTATGAATGATCAAGAAGCAGTTGAACTACCTGTTCAACAACCAGTTACTAAGATTGTAGATCTAATTTGATCTTGGAGTCAAAGATACAAAAAAAATTTAACTATTAGCTAGTTGGAATGCATTGCTTTTCATAAATCTCTGGCTCAGCTAGTTTCCGCATTTAAAGTAAATTGATATTTACTTTAAACAAGAACAATTTTCATTTTATTTTTAAACCTCGTAGTTTGATTTTCGTTTCCTAAGAGAATTAATTTCCACATTTTTGAAAATCGTTCTGCTCTCTAACTACCAGAATATATTTAACCAGTTATATAACTAGTACACAAGTATTGAACACGAGTAGAATACAATAGAATACAAGCCTGCAATCCTGTAAACCAATATGCAGTTGTAGACACGAATACAGACAGCTTTCTCAAAACCATATTTTTCAGCTTTCTTTCATACCATATTCATAGATATATAAGGGAGAAAGCTCATTGAGCTTTCTCTATTATAGAAGGGGAATAATAATAACAATGATAATACAAAAAATAATAATAATCATAATAATAATCATAATAAGAATAATAATAATAATAATAATAATCATAATAATAATAATAATAATACAATAACAATATTTTCCATTGTTTAGGCTGCATATATGTGTATACCACTTTTATAGTAAAACCCCAACAAAAAATAATTAATCTTCAAAATTAAAAACATTTCATCTTTTTCATTCTTGGTTAGGCAAAGCTATGAAGGGTACCGTTGTAAATTTTCGTTAAACATATGCTCTGGCAAGATAATTCCCTCATTTTCTAACATAAACGTAATCACAATGGAAATTTTCTGCAAAGATGGCAATGCCCGTTTCACAACGATACCATTCAAAACCTTTATATGATTAAGCAATGTCCTTTTTTTAAGGTTGATAAGTATTTAAATAGTTCGTAATTGTTTTCTTGCAGTAGAAATGCGCCAGTCACTTTTGTAGAGAAACCACAATTTTAAAAAAAATAATAATTTTTCGAAAATTTAAACATCCAAATCTAATTTATACTTGATCAGACAAATCTAATCATGGTACCGTTGTAAATTGGGTATTGCCATCTTGGCAGGGAGGCTTGGGATTGTACCTGTACAAATTATATTTTAGATGTGGAATATGGTAGTATACTGTGAGAGGAAGGCTGTGCTAGGATTGATAATTCTTCTATCAATCCTAGCATTCATCATTGGAGTTCTCATTGGACACTTCGGCTGGGGCATCCATCAACCAGTTAATTAAAGATCAATCCTAGCATTCATTATTGGAGTTCTCATTGGACACTTCGGCTGGGCCATCCATCAACCAGTTAATTAAAGATCAATCCTAGCATTCATCATTGGAGTTCTCATTGGACACTTCGGCTGGGGCATCCATCAACCAGTTAATTAGAGATCAATCCTAGCATTCATTATTGGAGTTCTCATTGGACACTTCGGCTGGGGCATCCATCAACCAGTTAATTAGAGATCAATCCTAACATTCATTATTGGAGTTCTCATTGGACATTTCGATAGGGGGATTTAGCAACCAGTTGATTAGAGATCAATCAATCAATCAACGAGTATACAAGAGATCTATCAATCATTCAACTTGTAAACTAGAGATCAATCAATCAATCAATTAGTAAACTAGAGATCAATCAATCAATCAGTAAACAAGAGATCAATCAATCAATCAGCCAGTAAACTAGATATCAATTAATCAACCAGTAATCTAAAGATCAAATAACTAGTAAAATAAAGATCTATTTCTCAATCAATCAATCAACCAGTAAACTAGAGAGTAGAAATCTATCAACCAATCAACTTGTAAACTAGAGATCAATCAATCAACCAACCAGTAATCTAAAGATCAAGTAACTAGTGCAATAAACATCTATCTCTCAATCAATCAATCAACCAGTACACTAAAGATCAAGTCATCAACCTGTAATCTAAAGATCAAATAACTAGTATACTAAAGATCTATTCCTCAACCAATCAACCAGTAAACTAGAGATCAATTAATCAAGTAATCAATCAATTATTTAGTTTATAAATTTGTGAATTTGATCCTGAAATTCAAAGTGAGACAGAAAAGTGAAAGCATGGATGACATTGGTAGTTCAGTTCTCTGTATTGACTGTTCATGTTCCAGGACATGGATCAACAAACTTTATTTATTCAGGGCTCAAAGTGAAGACGTCCCCTAGGGCCCATGAATCATGGGCCATGATGAGGAATACCCCTTTTTAACTTGATCCACTTTTCAAACATTTAATTATTGTTTTTTTGTTATGCTTTGGGTCCAGTAAACTCTGTCGAATTTAACATATTTTAAAATTAAATTTTTCAAAAATCTACTCTTATTACAATATGAAAAATATTGACGATGACAGTAATCATAGGTTTAAAGTTTGCTGACTTTTGTCGATTTTAATGAAGCCCTTAACCACAAAATAATTGTATCAGTACTAATCTGATACAGGGGTTCATTTTATTCCCAAAATAGCTGGTTTTGACCCAAACTAAAAAAATGCCCCCAACTAAAACACATTTTCAAATTCCACTAACTCATTTGCCCCCAATTGGAAAAAAATTCCGAAACTTAAATAATGTAAAATTGTCGAAATCAAATTAGAAACTGTTTTGCATACAACGCGAACCTTGTGCTAAAATGCAGGCTAATACGCCAAAGAGAACCCAATTTTTTTTACTGAATTAATTGCTATGGATCGTTGCAGAGTTAATATTTAACATCAGATGAAAATAAAGATAATATTAGTAGATTTATTTTTTTAAAGATTTATCGCCATGTATTAAGTTTTAGGGAAAAATTAATTTTAATTTTCTCTAGGAATTTTTGTTCATTCCCTAGTAACCCCCCCCTCATCCTGAAAACTTTCTTTTTTTTACACTTTGAAAAATATTATTTTTTTTTAATTGTGATACTTTTTTCATCAAGATATAGTTGAAATTCTTGCATATTTTCACCTAAAAATGTGACTGTCGAAAATTCACAAAGGTCGATACAGATTTTCTGCAGAATTTCTTTATTGTAGTCAATTGTCATAATTACTTATTTCGCAAGTTCAAGGTTGAAAATTTCAAATATACTTGTTTTCTATTTACATCTATTTTTAAACAAATAAAACGAGACTTCAATGACACATATGTGATAACGTAAGAGAATACAGCATTATATAACAAGATTGAATTAAATACAGTGTCCCAAAAAACATGACAGTATGCAGGACGACTTGAATGTCGTCTTGATTTTTGATATAATTTGCTGCGTTTATTTGTCAACCTAATTTTAAAAGTAAATTTCTAGAGATAATAATCCCAAAATTTCCCTTGTCCTGCCATTTCCAAAATGTGGTCTGCCTTTTTTGTGCTTTCAATATTGCCCGAGATATGGAGAATTTCGTTCAGATTTCTACAATTTTGCTTTTATTTAACAAAATTGAAATCTGAACCAAACTCTTTATATTTCCGGTAATATTGAAAGCACAAAAAACGCAGACCACATTTTGGAAATGCCAGGGCTAGGAGAATTATGTGATAATTGTTTCAAGAATCATACATGTTAAAGTAGATAAAAGACTAAATGTCACAAATGAACTGAAAGACGAACCCAAGGAACAGCAGTTCTTATGTTCATTTTTTACTTCTGTCAGGCAAACATCTTCTCAGGATTTAAGTATAGGGAAAGAGAGGCAGGTTATAAAAAATATTAAAATCGTTAAAATTTAGCACACAAAAAATGTTACAATGCTACACTGCTTGAATGAAATAAAATCAAAAAAAATCCTAATCCTAATTATTTTTACATCCTTGAGAAAAATTCAAAAACAAAAAGTAAATCGAAAAAATATTTATTTACATATATGTGAAATTTACGTGAATAAACAAAATGGTTTAGACTTCTTTCTAAATATAACACATGTTAAAAACCAGTACAATGCAGAGCTGTATGAATGCAAAACTTGGAACAGTGAATCTATTCATCGTCACCACCGAAAGACTTTTTCTTGTTCTGTTGTCCGCCACGATCGCCAAATCCACCTCCACCACGTCCACGACCTCCGCCTCGCCCTCTTCCACCACCACGACCTCCACTTCCCTTAGGACATTCTCTAGACATATGTCCAATTTCCTGGCAATTAAAACATTTGTCTCCACCACCGGTGGGACATTCCCGGGAGAAATGTCCATCCTCGCCACACTTAAAACATCCGCCGCCTCCACCACCACCACCTCCCCTTGGGGTCCCACCCCGTCCGCCACGTCCTGGGGTTCCGCCACGCCCTCTACCACTCCTTGGCTTGGGACAATCTCTAGAAATATGTCCTTCTTCCTGGCAGTTAAAACATAAGTTGTCTCCGCCGCCCTTAGGACACTCCCTGGATATATGTCCCTCTTCGCCGCACTTATAACATGTCATAGCTCCGCCACCGGTAGGACATTCTCGGGAGAAATGGCCTTCCTCACCACACTTGAAACATCCGCCACCTCCACCGCCACTTTCACCACCACCACGACCTCCTCTACCACCCCCACGGGGTGTTCCACGACCACGAGGAGTTCCTCGACCTCGACCACCGAATGAATTATTTCCACGATCGATGGATGTGTTTTTATTATCAACAACCTTCATTGGTTCATCTTCGTCCTCATCTTCATCTTCTGCAGCAGGTTTCTTCTCTTTCTTGCCCTTTTTCTCCGGTTTCACCTCCTCTTCTTCACTGCTGCTTGATTCATCATCGTCGGACTCTTTCTTTGCTGCTGCCTTGGCAGGTTTCTTAGCTGGAGCTTCATCTTCAGAAGATTCATCATCACTATCATCATCAGAATCCTTCTTTGCTGCAGCCTTGGCAGCTGGTTTGGCAGCCTCCTCTTCAGAAGATTCTTCGTCTGAAGATTCTTCCTTCTTCGCAGCTTTCGTTGCAGCCTTTACAGCTGGCTTAACTTCTTCCTCCTCATCGGAAGACTCTTCAGAAGATTCTTCCTTCTTAGCAGCAGCCTTAGCGGCTGGTTTATTAGCTGGTTTTGCCTCTTCCTCTTCGTCGGAAGATTCCTCATCAGAAGATTCTTCTTTCTTAGCTGTAGCCTTGGCAGGGGTAGCTTTTGCTTTCACTGGCGCTGTTTCCTCACTGTCATCACTGTCATCATCTGAAGATTCCTCTTCACCGTTCTGTTTCCCGTTGACGTGACCGTTGGTTCCGTTAGTCTTAGCTTGTCCATTGACTGCAGAGGTTTCCATCTCTTCGTCGCTCTCTTCTTCGGAACTGGAATCCTGAAAATAACAAATTGAATAAAGGATAACATAAAAATTGGATGATAAATAAAAAAACATAAAAATTGGATAATAAATAAAACCGAGTTTTAAAGGGGGGGGCCACAAAACGTATTACTCTCCGGAAAATTTAAACAGTGTTTAAACATAACNTTTCAGATTAAAGTCATGACAAACTTTTTTGATTTTTTAAAAGTATTTTTAAAGTCGCAACAAAATTAAACAAAAAAGTTCGCTTGGAGTAATTAAATTTAATTTTTAGTTAGATTGAGTAGATCAGATAATTTAGCACTAAGTAAAGATAGTTCCTTCCATCTTGCACAAGATACAAGATAAGATACAAGATAATTTTAGTAAATGTGAATTGTATTTCAGAACGGGTTTTATCCCCACAGAACTTTATCAAATTAAGTAGTATAGTAAAATTTGTTTAATTAGGACAGAACACGAAAATTAAAGTACGACAACTTAATATCATTTAAGGGAGTGTTCGCGAAAAAATAAAGGGGGGACAGGTTTACGGCAAAAAATAAGCACTTTTGATAGCTACTGATCTTACTACTGTTGCGTCTATAAAGCGAAAATTGTTAAAAACGACGCATGCTGAAGAATTTAGCGTCCATACAAATTCAGAAAGTTGCAACATTCAAATATCAGATCATGAAAAAAATATAAAATATCGACTAAATACGAACGCATCGAAAAACTATCGGTGATTATAGGTGTAATATCTGAATGATTTGTTTCGAATTAACTTAATTTTTTTCTCGATCAGAGTTGAAAGTTACAACTTTATGAATTTGTATGGCCTCCTATGTTCTTCAGTATGAGTAGTAACAACAATTTTCTCCTTGTAGACGCAACAAGTCAGATTAGTAGCGATCAAAGGCACTTATTTAATAGTAAGCCTTTAGCCCTTTCCATTTTTCGCAAACACTCCCTTTTTCATTTTTCGCAAACACTCCCTTTAAGGCTTTTCATGTAAAGTTTAAGTTTTAAATTGCTACCCTCTGTCAAAATCTTCCCCTCCCGTTACAAAATAAAAAGAGTGCAGTAAATTAAAACCCCTTGCGTTTAATTTCAATTGACAATGCAATGCCCGATTCACATAGAATTACTTAAAACCTACAGGAGAACACTTCTGTGGAAGATATGGTCGTTTCACCAGCTTTTTAGGCGTAAGATCTATATTGATTTCGCGTTGCAGGATGAAGTTGAGTAAAGTTTCGGAATTAAAAAATATATGCCAGCCTTACTACATCAGGTATTTCCCTCTATAAATATAGCGTCACTTACTTAAAGCCAGCTTTTTTAAACGAAATATTTACCTTCTTTGCTTTCTTCGCTGAAGATCCATTCTCAGAAATTTTCCTTTTTCCTGCTTGGACTGAGAACACTATCTCCTTCAAGCCTGGAGATCCGACAGGTAGAGCTTTAGGTTTGACCTAAATAGAATTGAATGTTAGGGCAGCGTTCACAATGAATTTTAAATTTAAAACTGATAAAACGCTTTAATACAATTTCATTCTATGGTTTTTAATCACCAAAATCAAATTTAAACTTGTTAATTCAGGGAGTGTATATTTACACGGTGAATTCAGAGGCCGTTTCTTGCATGAACTACATTTGTCATAGAGTAATAAAACGAAGAGGTAAAAAGCATAGCTCAGACGTACACAACCGACCTCCCTAATCAATTAATAGAGCGGTCGATTGTATGCATCACGATATGTTCACGTATCTAACGCAGTACACTTGTATAGAGTTGTCGTATTTCTGAAGGATTTTATGTAGATATTTGAATATTAGTATTGATAATTAGATAGACACTTAATATGGATTTTAAACACAGGATCGCAATACATTCAAGTTAAGTTGTTTGTTTATTTGTTTTTGACTAAATATTGCATCGTAAAAAAGTACAAAAACAATTATTCTTGTAAAATTGCGAGTTTTTTCAAAATACCAAAAAATGTGCATGGTTAGACCTTTAAGGTAGTGAGGCTCCAGAGAATATCCTTCAAAAGTTGCATTTGCTCAAACCATTTTTAAGAAGGATATGTCAGGGGAAAAAAGACAAGAAAAATGCAACTACATCATCGAATTCTCTTTAAAAAAAAAAAAGTAAATCTAAAAATTGGTCAATTCCATAAATCCCCCTTAGAAATACGATCACTCTATATTCAAGTGTACAGCGTTAGATACCTTAACATATCGTGATGTACACAACCGACCACTATTATTTAATTAATAGGGAGGTCGGTCTCAGCTAAACTTTACCTATTCGTTTTATTACTCTATGACATTTGTCGACAACTTGACGTCTCCTATATTGGTCGTCAAATGTACGGAGAAATATCTATCAAATAAGAATTTTGCACGAGACATCTAGCGGCCAACATATCGTTCCCGAAGTACGTGAACTACACGACCACTTTCCATGGAGAACGGGCTCAGGGGTGTATATTCCCGTAATATTTCTTTCTTTTCACTGAATAGGAGGAAATTGAATTGGGAAGATGAATATAGCTTCAGGAAAAAATAAACATCAGATTGAAAATAAAATTCTTAAATTTATTTAATATATTAAATAAGATCTTAATACCTCAATTACTTTTCCAAATAACAAATTACGATGTTTGAAAATTACACTGTAAATACATGTTAAACTGTAGACTGCAAGATTGAAATAATTCATTAAAATCTAGATGAAAAAACAACGCACAAACAAACAAATCATGGATTAAATAGAAAAAATTTGGTTTCACAAGAGAATCCCCCCCCCCTAAATAGGACAAGAAGTTGCATAACATATATTTTGTGATATTTCAACGCAAGATTAAGGAAATTTCTGGACTTAAACTATGGTAAGGAAATGAGGAAATTTATCGCGATTGAATTTAAGATTTTAACTCTTAACAAGTTTTGCTCACCTCTTTCTTGAATTTATCTGCGATCTTGGATCCAATACTTGTTAGGTAATCATATACAAGGGAATTAATCTGGTCCGCCATTCTAGAAAAAAAAACATTTCTTAAATACCGCAATTTAAGATTTTTGATAAATTTTTACTAATTATAAATAAAGTTCAAATGTTTAAAAGTTGAGATAAATTTAAACTTTCATCAAAGTTGAAGAATGGGGGGAGGGGGATAATTTAGATACTATGACAAATCATGTTTCTGTTAATTAGATACAATTAGGTTGTTATGATGAATGCTTTCTTAATTCTATTACATTTCATTCATTTTTTCTTCCAACTTCAGACGAAACGTCAATTACTAAGTTAAATTCCAGATCTCAGAATTAATAAATGTAACTTGTCTAAATTTAAGGTCCGTCCTAGTCAACGATTTTTGGACTCAAAAATAATATAAGTTTTGATTCAAAACATATCAGAGTTGTGTTTATTTAACAGATAATTTCCTGGTATACGATTTTTGGACCCCCCCCCTCCTCCT